CGCGCCGCTTCTTGCTGCCGGGCTCCTCGCTGCTGACGGGCTTGTCGCCCTTCGATGCGCTCCCCTCTGTGCGGGGCGGGGCGGCAGGGTCACGTGGCGGGGGCGGTGCGACACGGGCGCGCGACGCGGTGCGCGGAGCACACGCGGGCGGCGCTCGCCGCGGCGCTCGGTCGCGCCTGCTCCCTCTGCGGCGTCAGCCTCCGGGTCCCTCCCGCACATTCTGGTGATGAAGATGTTGTTGAGCTTCTCTATCCGCTTTAGATCCTGCTGCTGGTCCGTCTGGTACTGCAAGCACTGCGGAGGAGCGGGCAGCGGGAGCGGGGGTTGGCGGCGGTGTGCGCAACCACGCAGCCAGGCGCACGAGAGGCGGCGCTCTCACCACGCGGTCGTTGGTGACCTTGAGCAGGACCTTGCCGTCGGTGTGGCGGTACTTGAGCGAGTAGCGCGTCTGCGAGCGAGCGCGCGCGGCGTGTGAGTTCTCAGAGCCTCGTCGGAGGCGGGTGTGGCACCAGTGTCGGCGCACATGGGCCGGGTGATCGAGGTACAGCTTCTCCGCTTCGGCGTAGAAGGTGTCCCAGTCCTCGATGTATACCCTACGGGACGACGACGGGACTCAGCAAAGCTTGCGACCAGCTGCACGCGCCGCCAACACGTGCGCACATGCGGTTGTCGCCGGCGAGGCTGGCGACGGGAACACCTCCTCCTCGCGGGTCTGAAGGCCAAGAAAAAGAAAATCTGGCCGTAGTGCTTTCTCTTCTGAGGCGCCACTGCTCGTCGTGTGCCGGCGCGTGTTGCGGCGAGGCACGCTTCACTCCCGCATGCCGCCCAGGAGACGATCTCCTCCGGCGGTGTTGGCGCTCCGCGTGGTGCTGGTGGGGCTGGTGCTCGCGCCGTGCGCGGCGGCCGGCTTCGAGGACTTTTTCCAGCAGCAGGCGGCGGCCGGCGGCGGCGGTGGCGCCCGCGAGACCGAGTACTACGACCGACTCGGAGTGGACCCGGGCTGCTCCGAGGCGGAGCTGAAGCGTGCGTACAAGCGCAAGTCGCTCGCGGCCCACCCCGACCGCGGCGGCTCGGAGGAGACCTTCAAGGAGCTGAACGAGGCGTACCAGGTGCTGTCCGACCCGCAGAAGCGGGAGGTGTACGACCGGCACGGCAAGGCGGCGGTGGACGGCTCGGCGCCGGGCGGCGCGGGCGGCGGCGGCGGCGGCTTTGGCGGCTTCCCGGGCGGCTTCCCGGGCGGCTTTGGCGGCGGCGGCTTTGCGGGCGGCTTTGGCGGCGGCGGCGTCGACATGCAGGACCTCTTCCAGCAGCTGTTCCGGCGGCAGCAGATGCGGGTGGTGCAGGTGGAGCTGTCGCTCGAGGAGCTCTACTCGGGCGCGACAAAGACGTACGCCTTCTCCGACCCGCGCACCGGCGAGCGCCGCGAGGTTCGCGTGCGCATCGAGCCGGGGATGGAGC